AAATCTCTCCCAAAAAAATAAAGAAAAAAGATCCAATTATACTATCAAGCTATAGTGCTTTGGAAGCATGAGATAATATTAAAACTAAGTATATAGCTTTGGGTAACTATTTCAAGCCCCTTGAGCCTCAGTTTCTTCATTTGTGCAGTAAAGTATCAGTGAAATCTGCCCTTCACCCCTCATGTGGTTGTTGTCAGTTTGCCTTCTGACACTGGGCATGAAAAACACATCATAAGGAGCTGTTCAAGTGTTGCTCATGTTCTGCTGTCATCAGTCACACTAGCTCTTTCTTACGCAGCTCTTGGGTCTAAGAAAATTCATTTTCAGGCAATTTTCAGGTCTATAAAATGCAGCTGCTCAGTCAATCACTGTATGGCTAAAACATCCTACAACTAACTGTTAAGGCTGTCCAGGCAGAAGCCCTGGAACCTGGATCCTGACTTGTATTGCTCAAGAGACCCAAGGTAAATATATTTTTCCCATTGTTTCACTGTGTTTACTTCCTGTTGCCTGACTACCTGCCTCCAGCATCAGTAATAGCCTCTGAGCCCTAGAGTATATTTATTTTCCATCTGCTCCCTTCTTGCTAGCAACAGCATTAATGTGCCCCTTAAAGATCCAGGTCTTAGAAATTACAGCCCAGAAAAGCACTTAAAGCAGTGGAAGTATAAATTTTCATTTGAATTCTCACACACTGAATGGTGTGTCTCCAGCCCTGAGGATGCAGCAAAGCCCAATTTAAACCAGTGTGTTCCCTTTACTTGGCCAAGTACATTTGTATAAATGGTGACCTTAGTCATTATTGGGCTTGTTTGTCCTGAATCTGCTTCTTAAACATTTCTTCTGGCCCAGAGGGAAGAAATAATCGGAGACACCCTGAATGTAGTCTTGTATGTACAGTGGGCACCCACATGAAAGCATTTCATTTCCTTCTCAGTTCATCTCTATAGACGTCATTAACCAGACTCAACAAGTCTCATTCTGAAAATATATCTTTTTTTTTTTTTTGAGAGGTTTTTGCTATAGGGTGCGTGCGCTCGCCAGACAGACAGAGACAGAGAGATAAAAAGCGAGAAATCACCCCCACCCCCAAGAGGGGATGGCCACACCGCAATCTCTTCTCCTCCATTCTCTTCTCGAGATCTTGGGTACGCACGCACACACGCCCAGTGTGAGTTATAGCCACCGGGTCCAGGACTTGAATCATGGTCGGCTACATGGGAGTTCAGCGACATAGCCATTATGCTAACTTCTGGTCCCCTGAAGATATATCTGGAGAGAAATTAACATGTCTAAATACACTATGAGGCTTGATATAAAAATAATAAAAATAATAATAATAATGCTGATTCCCTGAGAAGAAAATTAGATGCAGTTAAAAGGTAAAAAGACTTTGGGAACCAGCAGTTAGTGTAATGGCTATGTCGCTGGACTCCCACGTAGTCGACTGCAGTTCGCGTCCCGGACCCGGTGACTTAAAACTCACACTGGGTGCATGTGCGTGCATGCCCAAGATCCCGAGAGGAGAATGGAGGAGAAGGGATTGCGGCATGGCTATCCCCCATGGGGGGGGATTTCTCGCTTTCTGTCTCTGTCTCTCTCTGTCTGGCGAGCGCACCTATAGCAAAAACCTCTCCAAAACAAACAAAAAAAGATAAAAAAGACTTATACTTTAAATAAAATCAAAATGTAGAATTCGTAGGAGAAGGGAAATCTGAAGAAGAAATGAAAAATGAAAGAAGGAGAATGCAAGATCTTAGAAATCTGGACTGTGGGAGAAGGGATAATAAGCCAAATTTCTTTTACATAATTTGTTTTTATTTATATATTTTTGAGAGAGATTTTTACTATAGGGTGCGTGTGCTCGCCAGAGAGACAGAAAACAGGAAATCACCGCACCCCCACCCCCAGGGGGAGATGGCCACACCACAATCCCCTCTCCTCCACTCTCAGGATTTCAGCTATGCCTGCACACATAGCTGGCATGATTTTCAAGCCACTGGATCTGGGACCCAAACCATGGTCAACCACGTAGGAGTCCAGAGTTGTAACCATTACACCATCTGCTAGTCCTCTTTTACATAATTTAAAAGAAATACTGGAGGTAATGATGCAACTATTTGGGGGTAGAAAAAATATCACAAGGAAAAATGGGATATTAGAATTTGGGACCAGAGGTGCAGAGAATAGAAAAGTATGGAATAGAACATAGGTAGATAGGGAGGGCAGATTTATAGGAAGTTCTTTTTAATCATCCATATTAAAAGAAACAGCAGAGAGCTAATCTCCAAGAGTAGATAGACTTAACTTTCTATAGGAGGGATTTTTAGGATAAACATTAGAACATATTCTGAGTATAAGTGTTTTGAGTGAAACATGAAAACTTCATCTTCGAAAATAATGAAAAATAATGATAATAATCATTGTCTTTTAGTAGTGACTTAAGAGCAAACCTGGATACCTAAGCTTTCAAAGATGTTTCCATCCATATACAACTAAGATTCTGTATTAAATTTTCTCCAGTTCAGTTCCTTCTTTGTCATAGTACAATATATAGGAATTTTCTTAGAAATTTTTGTTATTTATTGGACTTATCTGTCCCAAATTGGCTTCTTAAATCTAGTCCAGGGACCAGCAGTTAGCGTAATGGCTATGTCGCTGGACTCCCATGTAGTCAACTGCGGTTTGTGTCCCAGACCCTGTGGCTTAGAACTCACGCCGGGCACGTGTGCGTTCATGCCCAAGATCCCGAGAGGAGAACGGAGGAGAAGGGACTGTGGAGTGGCCATCCCCCTTGGGGGTTAATTTCTCGCTTTCTGTCTCTATGTCTCTCTCTATCTGTCTGGCGAGCGCACGCGCCTCATAGCAAAAACCTCTCTAAAAAAAATAAATAAAAATAAATAAATCTAGTCCATTTTTCTGACCCACATTCTGAGGTATTTTTTTTAATTTATTTACATTTATTCACTTACATCATTACAATACACAAAATGAGCTTTTCCATCCAGAATACACTGTATAAGGGCTTAGTCAAGAATATTACTGTAGGTGTTATTGTCAACAAGTAATTTTCCATTTCTCATTTCTTATATATTTTGCTTCTTCCCCTCCCCGCTAGATTCCCTCTCTCACCTCTACCATTTCTCACCCGTAGATATACTGTCTCTGGTATCTACAGTTGCTTTCCATGCCTCCCCCTTTTTTGACCCATATTTTATTGATTCACTAAAGATCTTAATTAATCTAAATACTTTCAGTAGCAAGCACAGCTGATGTATACATATCCATGAACACATGTCTGACTTTAAGCCTAAATCTCAGTGACTATAATGAACATACTATAAAGTACACCTAGCTGGGGCTACATAGCTTACTGCAGTCATTAAATAACTATTTTTTAATACATTTTTAATTCAAGAAAAACATTTTCAGGGTTTTTTTTTTATTTTTACATTCATTCACTGAACATCACAGCACACAAAATGTTATTTCCCATCCAGAATACACTGTATAGTGGCTTAATCATACATGTTATCATCAACAAATAATTTTCCATTTCTTGTTTTATGTGTATACACACACACACACACACACACACACACAAACAAATATATATATATATTTCCTCCTCCCTCCCCCATTTCTCACCCTCTGCCATGTCCACCCTCCTTGCACACTGTCTCTGGTATCTGCAGTTGTTTTCCATTCCTTTTTTTCTCTACATTTTATTTATACACAAAATATCTTAATTAATCTAACTACTTTCAATAGCAAGTTCAGCTGATAAATACATATCTGTGAACACATGTTTGCCTTTAGGCATGAAACTGTGAGTAGAATGAATATACTATAAAGTAGCACCTAGCTGAGTCTATATAGCTTACTGTGGTCATTAAACAGGTATTTTTTAATATATTTTTTAACTTCCAGAAAGGCAGTTTCAGCTTTAATAGATCAAAACCAAAAAATACTAAGAGAAATTTGTTTAAGACTTAAAGCGAGGAAAAAAGTTAAGCTTCAGATTAAACAGTAGGTAGATGAATCTACCATCAGTTTAAGAGAAGACAAAAATCTTTAAATCTGGAAAACAAAGCATAGACAAAAATCAGTAATGTTTTATTCAAAAGTAATAAAAATTCTATATCACCAGTCTCCTAAAATTAATCTCTCTTCTACTGAATTTGCAGTGTTACTATGGTCCGATCTTTCCATTTAAATTTCAGAAATTAACAGTTATTATTGATCTTTCTGGACTTGTCCCTACCATTAAGTTGGCCATTCTCTTGGTCACTTTTTATATTCTTATTTCTTAATTTTCCTAGTATAGCACTCCTGTCAGCACTTCTTGGAGAGCTGGTCTGGTGTTGGTAAATTTGGGTTTTGTTTATCTGAGAATATTTTTGTCTTTTCTTCCCATAGGAAGGATAATCTTGCCAGGTATAGTATTCTTGGTTGAAATTGTTTTTCACTTAACACTTTGTGTATATTTTCCCAGTCTTTCCTTGCTTGCATTGTTTCCAATGAGAGGTCCAATGTTCGCCTGAAAAGATATCTTTTGAAAGTAACTTGATGTTTCTCTCTTGCCAGTATTAGTATCTTGTCTCTGTGATTTTGGTCAATCTGACTATAACGTGTCTTGGAAAAGATCTTCTTGGGTTGATTCTGTGTGGGGTCCTTTGTATTTCTTAGGTTTGGATATTTGAATGACTCTCTAGGTCTGGAAAGTTTTCTTCCAGGACTTCATGGAATAGATTATCAATGCCCTGATTAGTTTACTCACCTTCTGGGATGCCAAATATCTGGATGTTTGGGCATTTAAAAGGTATCTTGTATTATCATATATTATTCTTATTTTGCAGGGACTATTTTCTGCATTTTTGGTGAATTTTTCAAAGTCAGAGGTTCTATCTCCTACATCTGAGATTTGAACTTCTGTATGATCAAATCTACTTTTAATACTTTCAAGGAAGTTTTTCATTTCCTGTATTAAAGCCTTCATCTCTAACAATTCTATTTGATTGTGCTCGCTTGGAACGATACAGAGAAGATTAACATGGCCCCTGCGCAAGGATGACACACAAATTCGTGAAGCGTTCCATATTTTTAGGCTGCAGGCCCGATCCTTCCAAATCTCCACGCATCCCCACCGTTCCTCTTCCTTGGACCCCAGGTTGGTCGTCTGGGACTTTAAGGCGAACCCCCACCCCTACCCACCCGCAATCCGGATCGAGCCGGCCAGCAGTTCCAGACACCAGGTGGACTGAGGCTGCAGGCGCGACCCCCACCGTTCCTCCTCCTTGGACCCCAGGTTGGTCATCTGGGACTTTAAGGCGAACCCCCACCTCTCCTCACCCGCAATCCGGATCGAGCCGGCCAGCAGTTCCGGACACCAGGCGGACTGAGGCTGCAGGCCTGACCAACCTGGTCCTGTCACTCATCTTCTGATCCTTTTCCACTAGCCTTTGGACTCTTTGAATTTTGGTGATTTTAATAGCGTGCAGCGCGTGCACCGCGCGATTTCCCTTTTTCATTTTGTTTTTCTTTGCTCTTGGGGTGTTGCTTATTAGGTCAGTTGAAGGCTCACCACTCCTTAGAAACAGGGCGGACTTTGGGCCATCCAGGGCTAGTGGCAACAGTTAATGGTAATTGTGAGCAACAGGTAGGCCAATCATAAGAGAAATCATCAATTTTCTAAGCCTGTACAACTTTTAACAATCAGAGATACCTTAAATAAGTTAGGAAGAAACATATAGATTACCTAATGACTAGGAACAATCGCAGAGGCTCAAGAAATATGAGCAACCAACAAAAGGCCTCTCCCTCAAGGGAAATCATCAAGTCTACATCACCCACAGTCAA